TCTTAGGTCTAGGGCCAGGTAAGGCACCGAACAGGTAAGATATGCGCGGCTCTTAGGTCTAGGGACCAGGTAAGGCACCGTACAGGTAATATATGCACGTCTCTTAGGTCTAGGGGCCAGGTAAGGCACCGAACAGGTAATATATGCGCGGCTCTTAGGTCTAGGGACCAAGTAAGGTACCGTACAGGTAATATATGCACGTCGCTTAGGTATAGGGACCAGGTAAGGCACCGTACAGGTAATATATGCACGTCTCTTAGGTCTAGGGACCAGGTAAGGCACCGTACAGGTAATATATGCACGTCTCTTAGGTCTACGGGCCAGGTAAGGCACCGTACAGGTAATATGAGCATCTAGGAACCAGGTAAGGCACTGTACAGGTAATATATGCACGTCTCTTAGGTCTACGGGCCAGGTAAGGCACCGTACAGGTAATATATGCACGTCTCTTAGGTCTAGGGACCAGGTAAGGCACCGTACAGGTAATATATGCACGTCTCTTAGGTCTGTGTTCAGGTAAGGCACCGTACAGGTAATATATGCACGTCTCTTAGGTCTACGGGCCAGGTAGGGCACCGTACAGGTAATCTGAACATCTAGGAACCAGGTAAGGTACCGTACAGGTAATATATGCACGTCTCTTAGGTCTACGGACCAGGTAAGGCACTGTACAGGTAATCTGAGCATCTAGGAACCAGGTAAGGCACCGTACAGGTAATATATGCATGTCTCTTAGGTCTAGGGACCAGGTAAGGCACTGTACAGGTAATATATGCACGTCTCTTAGGTCTGTGTTCAGGTAAGGCACTGTACAGGTAATATATCCACGTCTCTTAGGTGTATGGGCCAGGTAAGGTACCGGTATACCGTACAGGTTATCTGAGCATCTAGGAACCAGGTAAGGTACTGTACAGGTAATATATACACGTTTCTTAGGTCTACGGGCCAGGTAAGGTTCCGTACAGGTAATATATGCGCGGCTCCTAGGTCTGGGGATCAGGTAAGACACCGTACAGGTAATAATTGCATGTCTCTTAGGTATAGGAACCAGGTAAGGCACCGTACAGGTAATATATACATAGCTCTTAAGTCTAGGGACCAGGTAAGGCACCATTTAGGTGATATTTGTGTAGTCTTTTTATGAAGACACCATACAGGTGATATTTGTTTGGTCGTTTTATATGAGGAGGAGGTTAAACACCATAACATTAGTAATTTATGTGCCCCTGTTATGTTATGTAGCAACTAGGTAAGTCACTGCACAAGTAATATTTGTGTTACTCTTAGTCTTTGGGACCTTTGATTATTTGGTGTTTGGACATTTTTATATATGTATGTTGATGGGTTACAACATTTTCTTTCTTTTTTTTCAGCGTATTGCTTGTTGAATATCTTAAATGCCAGAGAAGATTGGATACCCCATTTAGGTGTGATGAGGTATCCAAGGAGACGAAGAAGAAGAGAAGCTGACTAGAATGGTTCGAAGTACGGCTTTAGTAGGGTTGGGCTTAGTTCATAACAACAACATGAATGCCGAACTTAAATTATATTAGATATTTTATTTATTTTCGAAAATTGCGACATTCACAATACAGTGGCCATCCTGGCAGCAGAGCTGATGGCGGGGGCCAACAGACAGACATGACTACATGACTATACATACATTGTAGATTAACATATATGTTATTATATTTACAATACTAATTAAAATGGGTAATCTTAGTTGGAGGTCAGAGGTCGAGAATCCGTACAGTGGAAGTAATAGACAAGTGCACTAGACCAAATGAACAGGTGGAAGGACACTTTAGAAACGTTTTGTTTGCAGGATGTAGCCCTGAAGAGCGGCCAAAATGTTTTGGTTTGTAATTGTAGAGAGGTTGTGACCTGGAAGACCATTGAGGAGCATGTTGGTGGAGAGGGATTGATCCACAACGCTACGTACAGCGGTGGCAAGTGTTTGCCTTGCGTCCTTGTGCAGAGGGCAGTGGAGGAGGTAGTGTGCAACTGACTCAGACTTAGCACCACAGCTACAGCTGCGTGGGGTCAAGTTGAACTTGACGAGTGTAGAGTTGAGCTGAGACCAGTCAAGACGCAGTCTTGTAGAAAGGATGTTACTGCGACGGTCCCCGAGTCTGCGGAACTTCTGGTGACGGCGGGTGGTCAGCATCTGAACATTAGATAAAGTTCATACTTACATGTGTAATAGTCAGTTTCTGAAACATTTATAGAATATACTAGTAGTGACTAGTATTTAGATTACATTCTGCTGTTTTGAATTTAATTCTGTAAGACTAGTACAGAACATGTACATTCTTCGCTCAATGCAGTTATTAAAGTCAAACTACACCTATATTCACTCTGTTTTTATGATCCGTTTGGTGGCAAGCAAGTTTGTCACAAAATATCAACTTTGTAAGTATGAGCTGTGAAGGGCTACAAACATTTGTCCAAAGTGCATTATTTTGTCCAAAATTAATCTGTCGGGTGTTAAAAGAAAAATTTGAGCGCAACCCCCATAAAGGAAGTGGCCACTGCAAGGTTCTTGACAGATGTATTTAAAAAGTTATGTCAATTTCATATTGTTAACCACTAAGTCTATCTCATTTTCTAATGTCGCACTTTCTGGTGGAAAGTTTAACTTCTCAAAATAAAAGTTTACATTCATCCAAAACGATTAAGGGAAACGATTGAAACAGCAAGCGGTGAGACCACTGAAAGGTCCTCAACAGACTTAATTAAGTAGAATATTGTGTCTATGTCATAATATAATTATAAATCTTCTAACTCTACCTTATTATTATAATGCCACACATTCCAGTGGGATTTTTGAGCAGGAACTTCATGTAGAACCCCTGTGTTCAGAAAGCTAGAACTGAAACTGGGCAATTTGGACAAATGCTTCTGATCGCTCGCAGGTAATACGTGTACATGTACTTACATTATCGTCTTTTCCGTGAAATTAAACTTTTCTGCCACAGTCAGTAAGGATCACAATGACCCCGGGCGGGAGGACTCCAACACATACCCGAAGGCTATACCTAGCATGTATATTATGGTGAAATTTCGAGATGTTTTGACATGTTTTGACATGTTTTGCAAAAATGTCGGGATATTTGAAAAAATATCGGGATGTTTTTCGGAACATAGGGATGTGATACAAATGAATTGCTCGTAGCTTTGCGAGAATTCAACAAAAATCAAATCTGTCAACAGCAAAGGTAGATCAGTTTTTCAGGATACTAATGTCCAAGTTTCATCTCAAAATATTATTTCCTTCTCGGCCCAGAAAGGAAAACGCAATTTTGCGTGATGCGGTAAAAATTGACCTAGAATTGTCCATGCCATGGGAAACATAGCCGTTTGAAGGCGACCTCGCTTCGCGCGAGGTTAAAATGTGTCGGTTTCCGTATCTCGTGTAATATTGGACGGATTTTTCTCAAATTCGGCTGGTATGTTTATAAAAGCTCACAAAGTTACTGTATGAATTCCCACACTGATGTCGTAATTAGTCATTGAGTTATTCACAAAATTCAATGTCTTAATGAAAGCATAGATCGCTCACAACTTTTCAAAATAAAAGTTTACTTTCCTCCGAAATGAAGTAGTGCAACCATTGAAAAACGATGTGGTGATATCACTGAAAGGTCCTTATCAGACCTATGTAGAAGATTGTGTTTATTCTATAATGCAAATCCCTAACTCTACTTTATTATTACAATATCGTACATTCCAGTGAGACTTTTGGGCATGGCCGAAAAATGAGGACAAATGAATTGCGTGTAGCTTTACGAGAATTCAAGACAGAGCAAATCTGTTTACAGCAGAGATAGACCAGTATTGTAGAATACTAATGTCCAAATTTCATCCAAAAATATCATTTTCTTCTCGGTCTAGAAAGGAAAACGTAATTTCGCGTGATGCGGTCAAAATCGACCTAGAATTGTCTATGCGAAACATAGCCGTTTGAAGGAGACCTCGCTTCGCGCGAGCTTAAAACGCGTCAGTTTCTGTATCTCGCCTGAAACTAATTGGATTTCTTTCAAATTCGGATGTTATGTTCATGTCAGCTTAAGAAGTTACTGTATAAGTTCCCATGCTGATGTCGTAATTAGTCATTGAGTTATTTACAATTGAAATGTCTTAATGAAAGCATAGATCTCTCACAACTTTTCAAAATAAAAGTTCACGTTCCTCCGAAACGAATGAGAGCAACCGCTGAAAAAGGACGTGGTGATACCACTGAAAGGTCCTCAATAGGCGTATATAAAAGATTATGTCTATTTCATAATGTAAATCCCTAACTCTACCATATCATTGCAATACCGCACATTGAAGGGGAATTTTGGGGGCATGGCCGAAAATAAAGAAAGATGAATTGCCTGTAGCTTTACGAAAATTCAAGACAGAGCAAATCTGTTCACAGCAGAGATAGATACGTATGTCAGGATACTGTTGTCCAAGTTTCATCCAAAAATATCATTTTCTTCTCGGTCTAGAAAGGAAAACGCAATTTTGCGTGATGCCGTCAAAATCGACCTAAAATTGTCTATGCGAAACATAGCCGTTTGAAGGCGACCTCGCTTCGCGCGAGCTGAAAACGCGTCAGTTTCTGTATCTACACCTAAAACTGATTGAATTTCTTTCAAATTCGGCAGGTATGTTCATAAAAACTCACAAAGTTCCTGTATGAGTTTCCATACTGATGTCGTAATTAGTCATTGAGTTATTTACAATTGAAATGTCTTAATGAAAGCATAGATCGCTCACAACTTTTCAAAATAAAAGTTTACTTTCCTCCGAAATGAAGTAGTGCAACCATTGAAAAACGATGTGGTGATATCACTGAAAGGTCCTTATCAGACCTATGTAGAAGATTGTGTTTATTCTATAATGCAAATCCCTAACTCTACTTTATTATTACAATATCGTACATTCCAGTGAAACTTTTGGGCATGGCCGAAAAATGAGGACAAATGAATTGCGTGTAGCTTTACGAGAATTCAAGACAGAGCAAATCTGTTTACAGCAGAGATAGACCAGTATTGTAGAATACTAATGTCCAAATTTCATCCAAAAATATCATTTCTTCTCGGTCTAGAAA